CCATTTTTTATCATAAATTATCTATTCTAATGATACTATAACTATGTCACATATGTTTTCAATTTGCATTTCCCTGATGATAGTTTAGGTGGAACACACTTTCACATGCTGATTAGCCAGTTGGACATCCTCTTTTTTGAGTGCCGTGGCATCAGCCTAGCTCATAGCAACCTCAGACTCCTGGTTTCCAGGTGGTTAGACCAGTATAGTGTATTAGAATTCCCATTATTTATATTGTCACCATTTTTTATCAAAATTATCTATTCTAATGATACTATAACTATGTCACTTATGTTTCAATTTGCATTTCCCTGATGATAGTTTAGGTGGAACACACTTTCACATGCTGATTAGCCAGTTGGACATCCTCTTTTTTGAGTGCCGTGGCATCAGCCTAGCTCATAGCAACCTCAGACTCCTGGACTCAAGCAATCCTTCTGCCTCAGCCTCCCGAGTAGCTGGGACTACAGGCATGTGCACCATGCCGGCTAATTTTTCTATATATATTGTTGGCCAATTAATTTCTTTCTATTATAGTAGAGACGGATCTTGCTCTTGCTCAGGCTGGTTTCGAACTCCTGACCTCGAGCAATCCACAAGCTTCCGCCTCCCAGAGTGCTAGGATTACAGGCGTGAGCCACCAAGCCCGGCCTGGACATCCTCTTTTTGAAGTGCCTATTCACTCTCTTGCTCATTTTTCCATTAGGTGTCTGTCCCTTTCTCATTAATTTGTAGAGTTCTCTACATATTCCGGATACAAGCCTTTGTTCATTATATGTTGTAAATAACTTCTCCCATGTTGTGGCTTGGTCTTTTTCTTACTTACTGGTATCTTTTGATGAACATAAGCTTTTAATTTTAATGTAGTCAAATTTATCAACCTCTTCCTCTGTAATTTGTACCATTTGTAGCCTGTGTAAAAATTCTTTCCCTACCCAAAGTCAAGATGATAGTCTTCTATATTATCTAGAAATATTATGCTTTAGCCTAAAATTTAGATCTACACTTATCCATTTAGATCTATACTCATATGGAAGTGACTTTTTGTGTATGGTGTTAGGTCAGAGTGAAGTTTAATTTCTTTCCATATAGGTATCCAATTTCTTAGCATCATTTATTAAAACTGCACTGTGGGCCAGGCGCGGTGGCTCACGCTGTAATCTAGCTCTCTGCGAGCGAGGCGGGCGATTGCTCGAGGTCGGGAGTTCGAAACCAGCCTGAGCAAGAGCGAGACCCGTCCTCTACTATAAATAGAAAAAACTAAATTGCCACTAATATTATATAAAAAATTAGCC